AGAACATTAAGTGTACTACACTCTTATAAGGTTGAAAAGAAAGTGTTTTTGCTTTCACAGAAAGTTACAAGAATTATCTCTCAAGGATAGATATAAAAATGAAACCCTGGTTTTTTTGTAAACCTCACACAGGAAAGATGGCTTTAAAGCTATACGTCTCAGTGTATAATTTATGAAAGAGGATGTAAACAAAAATTGAAGAACATTTCTCAGAGAAATTTTCAAAGAATAGATGTGAGTAATTATAGATCAAAGAATATTTTCTGATTTTTTGTGTCATGTTTACATTAGAGGTTTTGGTATATATAATGAAACTTATAGCCGTTTATAGCCGTTGTATTCATTTGAATTTATAGCCGTTTATAGCCATTGTATTCATTTGAATATTTTTCACTCCATGATTACTAATTTGAATATCTTTCACTCCATCAAAACTAATTTGAATATCTTCCACTTGAACCTTTTGAATTGCTGCTGTGCTGGGCTGTTTGAACTTCTATTTTTGGGCTGTTTGAACTCCTGATTTAATCAAATATTAAATACATTCTAACAACATTTAGGATAAAGGTTTAAGTGAGAAAAATGGGACAAAATAAATTTTGATTCTATTTTTCTCTTTCAAATAAATTAAAACATAATTAAATAAATCATTAAAATAAATGTTGATTCTATTTTTCTCTTTCAAATAAATCATCAAAATAAATTTTGATTCTATTTTTCTCTTCCAAATAAATTAAAACAAATAAATTTTGATTCTATTTTTCTCTTCCAAATAAATTAAAACATAAATAAATTATCAAAATAAATAAGTCTAACAAAGTTCTTTAACCATAGTAACTCACATACTTCAAAAGCCATGCCCCTATATTTAGCTTCTACATTGGACCTGGCTAAACCTATAACGATCACAAGTCATATGGTCTGTTGCACTAGAGTCAATTATCCAATCACTATTTCTAGAAAAAGACATACCAGACTTAGCAGTGAATGCAAGGGTTGTGGCTAGATTTGCTTTTGGATTAGAGTCTGCCTCCTTATGAGATGCCTTCTTACCGTTTGGATGCCATTCTAGATACCCATGAAGTCGGAAGCACGTGTCCACCGTATGACTAGTACCATGACAGTGAGTTCATTTTTTATCCTTCTTTGAGATGGTTGTCTTCTGAGAAGCCATTACAGCCCTCCCTTCTCCAATATTTCCTCCAAGCATAGCATCTTGGCGATTAGCTTCTGAACAAACCATAGCTTAAGCCGCTTGTATATCAGGAAGTGGTTTTGTCGACAGTACACGACCTTGAACCTCATCTAAGTGAGGATCAAGACCAACCAAAAACTTATATACGCGTTTGGAATTAACCTTCATGGTGTATATAGCAATATCATTGGCACACTCCATAATACAGGCATCAATATCATCAAGCTCCTGCCATATTTTCTGTAATTTTTCAAAATAAGAAATAACAGTACCTCCATTTTGGCAGATAAAAAATACCTCGCAATGAAGTTGATAAGCTTTTGATGCATCCTGATCAACCAAATACGTATTTTTAACCACCTCTCATATCTCTTTTGCCGTAGACAATCGAAGAAAGAGAGACCAAATATCCTTTGTCATCGCATCAAGAAGCCAAGATTTGACCAAGCCGTTTTCATCCTCTCATTCTTCATACTCTTCTGACTTTTTATGTAATGGAGCAGCCTTGGTACCCAAAATATAACCCCAACGTTTTCTTCCACGGATTTTATTTCAGGCATTCAAAGACCACTCCATATAATTGGTACTGTTAAGCCGTTTCGGAGTGATGAGAGAGGAAGTTTCGGGCAAATGTAGACCAGACTCAGTCTTCGTTAGTGATTTAGCACCACCTACTTCAGTCATGATGGCACTAAAAGAAATTTTTTCAGCAGAATGATATGAATAGAAACAAGAACAATTGTAAATACAAGACCTGCTTCAATTCCTAGGATTAAGAAAAGGATATTGAAGGAGGCACTAATACCATATATCAACAAACACAATTGTGGAATAATTTTCTGAGTCTCTTCATTTATCATAGTTGTACAAATATTAATAAGGAAAGAATAAAAGATTATAGAAGTATCCTATAACTAAGGAATTGATAAGGAATTACATAATTAAGAATATTGCCTAAATCATATCTTTAATTTTAGCAAGTACATCTTAACCTTTTATTTTTATTTATTTTTTAATAATCAAAAGAAACAGAAATTCTAAATCAGACTTGTTAGACATATCTTTTGTTTCTATTATGAGCCAGACAGATTGATCAAAATGAAGATTATAGAGCCAAAGGGGAGAGTTATTATTGGTTTCTTTGGCTCTAAAATATGCTCTTGTTTTATTTTTAAACTCAAAAATTGCTTTTGAGATTTTTGTTTTTCTTGTTCCCTTCGTCTTAGTTAATTCTTTTTTATTTTTTTTATTTTATATTTTAGTCTTTTTTTTAATTATTATTATTTTTTTAACTTTGCAAATGCACCTAATCCAATATAAGTAAAAAATAAAATATTTGTGAAAAATATGAAAAAAAATTCAAGTGCATTTAAAAATTTTAACCTAAAATATGAAAAAATTAACTAAAGACAAAAAAACAAAACAAAAAGTCTACAAACTCATGAAAAGGGACTAGAAGATTACTCTATTATTCAAATTTTGGAGTATTTTCTGATTACTCTTTCATGGTTCATAGACTTTTTCAAAACAAAAAAACTCAAAAATAATTTTCAAAATTAAATCAAACAAGTTGATCATCCTATAAATTTCACAGGGACAGAATTTTTTTTAACAAAGTTTGTTAGTAAAATCTACTATTAAAAAATCTTATCTCCATCTTGCAAATTATGCGTTTTATTTCCATGTTTGTAACCACCGGGGGTGGTGGCCTAGTAGAGAAGGCATCCCTCTCCTCAGGCGTGACTCAGGTTCGAATTCTGGGGGAGCGAGATGCTAGGTAATGCCAGTGGTTCTCTACGGAGATCTCACTCGGTACTCCAATTGAACCCTAAGCTCGCTTGTGGCGTGTGGTTGTACTCCGATTGAACCATGGGCTTGCCTGTGGAGTGTGGTTGAGCTTTGTTGGTGCCTTGGTGTTGGATCCCTTCCTACGGGTTGGGTTAAATCAGGCTGGCAACCAGTTATCTCGGGACCTAGGTTTAGGGATACAGTGATAACACCTCAAAATATCTTTTTTTTTTTTTTTTTCTGATTAAAAAAAAAATAAAAAATTCCATGTTTGTAGACCTGTTATTTATTAATTAGTCAATAAGCATAGTAATAATAACGGTAAGAAGAATCTCCACTTGCCTCCAAAGAAATGTAAAGGGTTGGACGTTTGTTAATTTAAATATTCATGACTTCGAACTAATGGGTTGTTATTATTCCTTAACATAGATTGGTCGGGCTTAAAGAAGTAACAACAATTCAATTGATAAAAAACGTTGTCGCAAGTTGCAGCTAATAAAACCATTGTTTCATGTTGTCTTCCACAACTTTCTGTCCACACTGATTAAATAATTTTATGTTGTGTAGGAAAATTTTTATCACACTGATGGTTGCTGGGATGCGCAATCGCATTCCTTAGTTGGTTAGTTGGAATTCTTTTGGATGCCTAAGAAAGCTTGTTATTGTAAATCATTATTAAGAAATTGATTCTGAATGTTTGTAATTGTGTACTTGTTTTGTTATTGTTTGAGTGAAATTATAGCTGTGCCCTACTGATCGTTGTCACTTCTTGTTGTTTCGTTTCATGTGAGATCATATCTCATGTTTGCAATATTTCAAGGATAGATAGTCATTTCGGAAAATTATTTAATAAATCTCAGAACACCACGTGGTCATACTCTAAACTAATTACTAATTACTCAGCTCTCTATGTTGTTTTCCATCTCTAACATAAATTGTGAGTCTCTACCAATCAAAACCTTATGAAATATCACATGTCTATATTTTGAAAATACTAAATAATCACCCGTCATTTTCTCACATAGAGTGGACTTCTCGTTGCCCTGGTCCACCGCTATCTGACCTACTAGGGAGCTCAACTGATCGGTTGCAAAGTAAGCCCAACAATTTGGCCATGTGTCCTGCTCGGTGTGGCGAGGTGGTAACTCAAGATTTACCTCCCACGCGTCATATTTAGGGTTTAATTAAAGGAGACCACCCCAATTATCAATTAATACTTACTATAATGTTTTTGTAAAATAATAGCACAATAATTTCAAGTTCTGTTGTATAGAGTAGTAACTATCGAATTAGAACACTATATGTACTTACGAATACTAAATAACTTTTCATGATAGAGAATTAATTTGAAATGAAAAATAAAAAATAATTTACACACAAGATTCTATCTCGATTTAAAATGTGGATGAATTTTATTTTATTTTTTTTAAAAATATAATTATTGTGGTTGTCATTTTTTCTCATACAAAGCATTATTGTTATTCTCACTTTTTTTATAAAAAAAAAATAAAATTATCAAATCAACCAATCAGATTAAGCTAATTTTAACAAACACATATGTCCTCTGCTTTAAAAAGAAAAAAAACAATAAAAATTCCCATCTTTAAAAATCTTGTTTTGTTCATCATTTTGCTCATTTCTTTGGCTCACCATAAAATGTGTGGCAGAGTAAAAACTGACTGATTCAAGTGGGCACAAAAGCTCTCACCTTCTCTTTCTAGTCTCTACTCATAGATCCCTCACTACTATCATCACTTTTTTGCATCTATAAATTCACCCCCACCTCTTTAACTTCTCTCTCATGTTCTCTCCTCTTTTCCCATCTCTCTCTCCAATTTTAACCCACCATTTCAATTGTCTCACAAATAAAATCTTGGATTTTTCTTCAAATCTTATCTGTCATATTTATATTGTACCTCTAATCTCTTCAAATTTCAAAATTCTTGCATTTTAGCATAGGAGTCCATTTCCTCTGTTCCTGCCTTGTTTCCTTCATATCTTATTCTCAGAAAAAGTTATGTCATCAATTGTGTGTCAAGGGTTGCAATCGTGCCTTGAGCCTCGGCTCATCGAACCACGTGTTTTGAGGCACAAATTGGGTCCAAACTCTTCTTCCCAATCCCTTCCATGGCCTCAAAGGCCTTCCGTGTTGCGACATCAACAAGAACACCAAGAGAATTCTCATAATGAAGAAGAAAAGAGCAACAAAAACAACAACAACGGTGACTTGGGTGGTTGGAGCTTCATACAAGCCCTCACCGGCACGTCTCACAATTGCAAAGAAGTGACCGAGAAGGAGAAAGTCTATGTCCACCCTCTTGTCAAGCTCTCTTCTTCAACTCTAAGCAACAAAAGCTTGGAAATGTGCACTGAGAGTTTGGGAAGCGAAACTGGCAGCGACATTAGCGAAAGAAGCGATGAAATCACTTCACTTTCGTTGAAGAGTGAGAACACTCACTTGACAGAGCGATCAAAAGCCGAAAAATTCTCAAAGAAACTCACTAGCAGTGCTAGTTTTCCTCCTCCCCTGACTTCGATCAGTGGATCAGACAACGTTCGAGTAAGGCCTTGTCGCGAAGGTGGCCGGTTAGTTCTAAAAGCTGTCACAGTTGCTCCTTCCAGCACTTTCTTTCAAACCGAGCGTGTCAATGGCCGGCTTAGGCTTTGTTTGCTGAATTGTGACAGTTATGAAGTAGTTGAGGGAGTTGATGCAACTAAAGCTGGAGGAGAATATTATGATGGTGATGGTGATGGTGATGATGATGATGGTGAAGTTGGTGAGGATGAGGATGATGATGATGATGAATGGGTTGAGGGCATAGGAGGGAATAGTGGGAATGTTGGGTGTGAAATTGAGATTGGAGAGTTTCCAAGGCCAAGTAGGTGCAAAGAAGGTGGTGGGAGTGGGAACAAAGGGATGTCAAGTTTGGGACCATTTTGGGTGGCTATTTCTTAAAGCTCTCTGCTGACAACATATATATATATATATATATATTTATATATTTTTTTTCCTTTCTTTTCTTTTGGTAATTGAGAATCGGTCCTAGGCGCAAACTTGTGATATATGTGACGACTTGCTAGCCTCACATATCACTTCAATCAGAAAGTTGAAAGTCTCTTTTTCCTATTGTTTTGTATTTTCATTTTCCTTCTTCATCATTGTCTTAGTAAAGGGCAGTTATTATGGTTATTGGACATCATCAAGTACTCTCTCTCTCTTTCTATTGTCTTTGTCCATTCATGATTCATGTTGAATTATATTCCAACAATACTATGGAGAATTACAATAATGCTATGAACATTAAAAAAAAAGAAAAAAATTTAAAAATTGAAATGTATAGAGATCAAAATGATTTCGAATGTGACCAAGATAATATCAAGTTTGAATCCACACAATAGCGTCATTTCGAATTAGTTTTCAAACTATTTTATTATTATTATTATTTTTTTCACATAGTGTATAAAACAGTTCTTTCTATCCACATGAGTTTAGAGTTGCTCCAAAAGTTAGGACCATTACCTTGATTCACCGATAACCATATTATTATTGAAAATTCACCTGTTGTTGGGCTCACAATTTTTCATGGGTCACATTCAAGCAAGCAAACTAAACTCTTATTTATGTATGGGTCTGGACCGTCTCTAGTCCAAATCTGAGACAGTCTAGTCCAGTTCAACTCATTAGGTCCACTTTTGAGTTCATTTTCGATAATCAGAACCGTCCGTATTGTATGATTTGTTGAATATATTATTCCTGTAAAGCATCACGTTAATCGGATAATGGATACTATCTATTCGGATCACTTTTGTCTAGAAAAAATGGACGGTTAGAAAATTAACGGTTCATAAAAAAGTGATCCAAATACATCGCATCCATTATCTGATCGACGTGATTTTTACAGGGATAATGTATTCAATAAATCTTAAAATATGAACAATTTAAATTATCAAAAACATGTTAAAAAATAGACTCAATGAGCCAGACTGGACCCTCCAGTCCAGATGGTGGACTGGTGGCAAGCCCCAGCCTTTATATTGTATCTCCATGGTATGAGAAGGGCCAAGTCTCACAGTCATAGCATCAATTGAGGTTTGTGCTAAAAATGATCACCAATATGACTTGGATGATGTTGACTTAATAATTCTTGACTGGTGTTATTTGATTCGAAAATGAGATCAAACAGCAGACAAACGTGTTTAATTTTAATTTTGATTGGTTAGTATTCTTAGCACTATGTAACACCAATCAAGAAGGATTGCGAACACGTTAGATATTCAGACAGAATATCATTTTTCTTGATTATTAGATAAAGAGGTTTATGATGGTTAGGAGGGGGCATGTCGGATGTTGAGTTTTTACATTGGAGGGCAAACATAAGGCAAAGTGGGGGCATGGTAACAGTGAAGTATGTACATATGGATAATTCTGTACAAATTAATAAATTTGATTAAAAAAAAAAAAAGTAGTACTCATTGATGTGATATATGTTACATTATTAATTTTTTTTTACATAACACGTCAATTAATAATTTATTTTTTTTGGTATAAATTTATTAATTTGAAAAACATTTTAATCATGTATTTGTGGTCCCCTAATAACCAGTAACTATGTACTAACCTAGACGTAGAAGAACCATAGTGAGACCATGTGCCTCCCAAACAGTGCGAAATTACTGAAAAGGCCTCCATAATTGAACTTGGTACACATATTTTGAGTTTTAACAAGGGCAAGATGGTCAATTTGAAGAGTGGTTCGTCGCAAAAAATGAAAGCCCTCAAATGCACCCACTTAATTTGTCATATTATATATTTATATACACAATTAGTGAAAAAGGAAAACGAACAACTCTCAAGTAATAAAAATAATTCATTGTTAAACCAACCCTCAAATCAGACATCACGCTTAAGAGCAATTCCAACCACACTCTCTACTGTTCGTTAGTTAAATTACAAAACAAGTACACTTTTTATTTTATCTAATTACTTTAGCTATTGTGTTCTTCAACCACGTTCTTTATTTTAGCTAATTATTTAAACTAACTTAATTAATTTTTAAAATAAAAAAATACTAATTGTTGATATTTTACTAATATAAATTTGCAATAATAATAAATTTGCCCATACAAACATACAAAACTTGTAGAATGAGGAGAAAAAAAAATACAAAATACAAAATAAGTTATTCCGTAATTCATTAAACAGAATTGAAAGAACATATAAAATTGTTACATACACACACACACACACACATATATATATATATATAAAATATAAAATCCTAAATCCAAGACATAAATATACAAAATTCTAAAATATATATATACATAATTGTTTGGAGAGCCTCTGGGGCTCTTCAATTGTAGCCACCAAAAAAATATGATGGTAAAATAGCTAGCCCATTGAAACTCAAAATTAGACTTACATTGACTAAAATACCTAATAAAACTTATTTAACCATTCCCTTAGAGACGTTCTAATAAAAGAAACAACCTCATCTGCTAAACTAAATCCCTTAATTTATTTATTTTTTTACACACTATAAGCATTGTAATCCTTGTACTCTAAAATGATTGTACATTTAAAAAAATATAGGGAGCTCTATTAGGGTTTAAATAATCTCTAGTCCCAAATAGAATTGGACAGTCTAGTTTAGTCTATTGGCCTATTTTTGGAACTCATTTTAATAATTTGAATTGTTCATATTTTAAAATTCTTTGAATGCATCATATCTGTAAAAAATCAAGTCAATCGGATAACGACAATGACATGTTCCAATCAATTTTGTATTAAAAAAATAGACAGTGAGAAATTATTTTTTTTTCGTACAAAATTGATCAGAACATGTTGTTACCATTATCCGATCAACTTGATTTTTTATAGAGATGATATAATTGACGAATCATAAAATGTGAACTGTTCAAATTATCAAAACAAGACTCAAAAGTGGGCCCAATAGGCCAGACAACACCTCTCTAGTCTGATTTGGGACTATGTAGAAAAATAGCTAGCGAGCGTAAAAAGGAAAAAAAAAGGTTAATTACACTTCACCTCTATAATTTGACTTAAATTTTATTTTATTCTCTATAATTTTAATATAAACAATTTGGTTCTACACTTTAAGTCTAGTTTCAATTTGGTCCTCGGTCTAAATTGAAAATTAAAATTAACAATTTTGGAATGCTTGTCAATTTTTTAAGATTTCAATTCAGTTCTTTCATCTAAATTAGACGTTAATATTAACAATTTTTGAAACACTTGCCAATTTTCTAAGATGTACCCATAGATAAAATTAACAAAAATTTAGACGGAATGATCAAATTAAAACTAGACTTAAATTGTATGGGCCAAATTGTTTAAATTGAAACTATAAAGATTAAAGTGAAATTTAGGTCAAATTATTATAAGAGTGAAATGTGTAATTAAGCATTCGTTTGGGATGTAGGTTCGCTTCTTGGTTTTTAGCCTGGGATTGAAAAGTCTTGATTGAAATGAGGTTTTTTATTTTTATTTTTGTGAGAGAAAAAAATAAAATGATTATGCTTTTTTTTGTTTTATTAACTTCTTAACCTATTTTTTTTTATAGTTAAAACATCATATATAGCTTAGTACTTGCATCAAATTAAAACACTTACATCACCATATATTGCTTAGCACAACAAATCAAGTGGACCATGAATAGCAGGATTTCAAAGTTATGACTAGTTTTTCTTCAAATCAAATGGGTCATGTTCCATTAATAAATTGCTTCAAATGAAAATATGATCTTCAAAAGACTTTTTTGAGTACTATTTTTTTTGTTTGATCGGATGAAATATGTCATTTAAGAAAGCCAAAACAGCATTTACAAGAGTCCAAATAATCCAAAGCTTACACCAAACAAAGTGAAAATAAAGCAATAAGCACTAAGGAAGAAAATTATGAAAATATTCAGACGTACATATCGTATTCGTGCTCGCACTGCGACGCAGAGTAGATCATAAAAGTTCGGTAATAGAGCATGTCCAAAATAAATCATAGATCCAAATCACAATGAGGTAAGCTTAACTAAGCACACAGATGGACTCTAAGAACCAAACAGACCCAAAACCAATACAAACCCAAGGAAAAGAAAAACAAAAGAAATCAAATATAGGGCTAAACCTAACAAACAAAGCAAAACAGACCCATACCTAAACAAATCTGGCAGCGGCTTTGGCGGAACCGGCGGTGGAGAAGAACAGCGATGAAGATGCGGTGGAGAAGAGGCAGTGAAGACGGCGGGAGAAGCGGAGAAGAGGCGATGAAGGCTGCAGGGGAGGCGAAACCGGCGACAGTAAATCAAGCTAAGGAGAAGACGACGAGGAAGAGGCGGAGAAGGCAGCAGAGAAGGCACGGATCTGAGAAGGTCACTCCTGAAATGAATGGATGTGGGAAATACACCTCACAAAGAAGGGAGATGATGGAAAACAAAGCTTCCAAGTTATGGGAAAGCTAAAGTAAGGAAAGGGAAAAGCAAAAGAGGGGTAGGGGAGGGGAGGGGAGGCCGGCGGAAACCCCTCCCCCACCGCTGGCAACCGCAAACTCTGAAACCCAAGGAGAGAAAAAGTTTAGAGAGAGAAGCTCCCAAACTAGAGAGAGAAGGGACTCACATATCATACTTTTTTGAGTACTAGATGCATCTGATATGTCTCCCTATAGCCTAGAAAGCAACAATGATTAAATTCTTGAAGCATTGTTAAACCATGTTTCATCAAATTGTATTTATCTTAGCTCATCTTTAATTCTTCATATTTTTTTTAATATTAAATTTGTTTAATAATTTAGATCAAAAGTTTGATTTGATATAATTCACTTTCACGGTGAAAATCTATTAAATCTTCTTAAAATTATCTGACTTATCCCAAAACCTCATTTAACCAATTCAAGTATAAAAAAAAATCATCTCCAACCTTTCATCTTTTAAGAAATTCATCAAA